GCCTTTCAATTAGCCCCACATGTGATTATTGGCCAGGCTGGCACAATTAACTAACTCAGGGCACTACCTGGTCTGCTCATAGTTTTGAGTCGGTCCCTGGACGTCCTGTTCACCATCGCACCCTGTCTGGTCCCTTAACCTCCTTGGGGTTTTCATTGGCAAAGGGAGGTGATGTCAGGCCTTTCTTCTAGTTTCCCTAGTGTAGAAGCCCCTTGAATCCCGCTCCTTGTTGGAACCACATGCAAGCCTCCACTGACAGACAAGCACGTGGGCTGGGAACAGAACCTGGGTTTCCCAAGCAGACGGGCCCCTGGTGGGGCAGTGACTAAGCATTTGCCTGTGATACCTGAGGTCAGTGGTTCGAATCCACCAGCTACTTCACAGGGGGGAAAGATGTGGCCGTCTGCTTCTGTGGGCATCACAGTCTTGGGGACCCCCTAGGGCGGCTGTTCCCTGTGGCCTAGGGGCTCCTGGGAGTCAAATCCACAGAGGGCTTGGGCTTGGTTCCCTGCGTGAGGCTGGGACTCCCTCACTGCCCCTCCCTTCTTGTTGGTGCTAAGCACTCCATGGGCCCAGCTGAGACAGAGGCAATGTGGCCCTGCCTCAGCTTGGGGCTAAGGGGCTTCCACAGGCATGGACTCCTTTCTGAGGGGTTGGGAGGGCTGTGCCCAGGATGTGTGCTGGGCTGGGAGGGAGCCTGGGGTAGCAGGTATGGCTGGTCACTCTGGACACTGGTTCACTGATCCCTAGGCAGGGTCACAAGGACAGAGGGAAGGGGATCTCTGGGGGGTGGGGGGGTCTTGATTTCCACTCCAGGGAGCTCAGATTAGTGTCCCTGGGGGGTCCCGCTAGGCCTCCTCGTCATGAGTGATCACAGCCTTGCTGGGGTCTCAGTGCCTTTCTTCTGCTTGGTGACCAGCACAGCAAAGGGGGCTCCTGAAGAGGCCCCTAGGGCCTCGCACTCTGTGCCTCAGTGTGTTGGTCTCTGCAGCGGGCAGTCGCAGCAGTGGCCCCAGCCCCCTTTGCGACTCTGAAGCCTGGCTTCCGGTGCCATGTGAGGCAGGGTGGCCGGGGGTGCTGGTCTGGGCCTGGAAGCTGGCACCTCTGCTCCCCAGGAAGAGGGGGCACAGGTCGTGCCACCGTTGGCGACACAGGAGGGGAGTTCATGATCTGGGGAGTGGAGCCCCATGTGGGGGGAGGTGCGGAGGAGCCTTTGACTGCCGTGTGACATCGTTCCCACCCCACGAATGGTTGTCATGTGAGAGTTATTTCCCAAACAGTGGCCAATCCTAGTGATGTCATGGGCCAGCCTGCCGGAGGTCCAATTGGTTCTGGTCCTGGCGACCAGGAGAAGCCAGCTCAGGGGCCCAGCTAGGCCGGCAGGTGGGCGGGCCTGTGGGTGTGTCCTCCCACGCATTCTGTGGCCTCATTTCCAAGTGACTTCCCCTCAGAGGAAGGCAGGGGTCATGCAGAAATGGGGTTCAGTTATCACCGGACCCCCTTGCTCTCACACGTTCAGAGGCTGGGCAGCATTTGGGGGCTTCATGCCAGGGTGGCACCTTCTGGGCGGAGCATGGCTCCAGCTTTAACCTCATTCCTGGGCCCTCAGGTCACGGCCGCCTGGTTTCCCAGCCGCCTGTCACTGTCAAGCTGTTCCCGGGATGAAGTCATGGGAATGGGTGCTGCCTGCGTGCTCAGAAACAGCGGGGGCCTGTGGTCAGCTGTGTGTGGCCTGCAGTGGGCAGGCGGGCAGGCTGCGCCCTCCCCGGGGCCTTCCAAACCCACGATGTCATCCAGTTCTCCAGTTACGGGCATCGGACCCCCACTGCTCAGGGGAGGGCACTGGCCTCGGGTCACAGAGCCACCAAACATGACCTATCCTCCAACAGGACCCTCACCCTCTCACTTTACCCTGCTGGGCCCCACGCTCTGTCTGGAGTTGTTTGAAGAGGAGCCTTCGAGGGCAGGTGTGCTGGGGGCTGCTGCCTTCTGCTAGGAACCACGTCCTTCAGCGTGGCTGGGATGAACCATGGCTCGAGCAGGCAGTTCTCCGAAGAAGAGGATACGCGTGTGGGTGTCTGCGCATGGGGAGAAGGGACGGCTGAAGAGTAGGTGCCCAAGAGCAGGGCTGTCAGGGAAAGGCAAGTCAAAGCCACCACGCGATACAGTTTCATACCCGCCGAATGGATCCAAGATGTCTTGTAGCGACACAAAGCAGACAGCAAAGGCTAATGAGGACGGAGAGCTCCGGAACGCGGTGTAATGTCATCGTGTAATGCATCGCATGTAACACGGACACTGGGAAAGATGGTCCCTAGACAGCTCAGTGTGGGGGGATCGGGTGAGACTTAACTTAGGGGTGTGGGTTTCGGGGACTCAGGGGCGGGGTGGGGAGGGGCTCTGGAAGGGGACACAGGTGATAGTTGTCCAACCCAAGGAGCACTGATCCACAGCCACTGAGCTACACGTGTGAAAAAGCTGGGATCTCCACGCTTTTTTAATGCCACGATAGAACAATTTTTGAAAAAGAAGCAAAATGACAGGATTATCATGGGACCCTGCAGTTTAATTCCTAGCTACACACCCCAAAGAGTTGGACACGGGCATTCGCATGCATCCGGATGGTCACTGCTGCATGGTTCCACAGCCGAAATGTGGAAATGACTTGGGTCCCCCAGCGAATGAATAGGCCAACCAAATGGGGCCCAGGCGTCCGATGGCGCGTTGCTTAGCCGTCTGAAGAGAGGAGGTCTGAATGCGTGCTCCAAGATGGACAGACCTCGAAAACTACCCTGAGTGGAGCAGGGCCGTGACACAGGCACAGATTGTACGTCCCTTAAAGGAAACAGCCAGGACTGCAAGTGCGTCCAGACCAAAGCTCATTCTGGGTGACCAGGAGCAGGCGGAAGGGAGGGGAGAGGGGCTCCCTGCTCGGGGACCCTGAGCACTGCCACAGGGGATGGGAAACTCTGGGAGCAGATCGTGGCCAAGGCTGGACAAGACGGCGGACATCACTCAGGTCACCGCACCAGGTTGGCGAGGCAACCTGTTACCTGCGTCCTGGTCGCCTTAAAAAGCAAAGTGCCCGCACATGGCCCCGAAGAGAAATCAAGTTATTAGACCATCTTAAAAATATTGAATTGGCAACTGTTCTATATGGGGGCCCTGGTGCCACTGTGGGGTACACATTGGGCTATTAACCACCAGGCCGGCAGTTCAAACCCTTGGGAGAAAGATGAGGCTGTCTGTCCCCTTAAAACTGTATAGCCTCAGACATGCTCTATAGGGTCACTATGAGTCAGAATTGACTCAATGGGAATGAGGTTGGCTTGTTACATACATATTTCTTACCACAATAAAGCAATTACTAAAATGTTACATATAGAATCACCATTAAAACAACAACAACCAAAAACATGCATTCTGACTCATGGTGACCCTATAGAACAGGGCAGAACAGCTCGTAGGGTAAATCTTTATGGGAACAAATCGCCACATTTGTCTCCAGGGAGAAGGGGGCTGTCTGTGAGGACCCAGCCTGAATTCAGCTCTGGAGCTGCCCTGCCTCCGTCCGGCCTGTCCACTGGGCAGGAGGCACCCACAGGATCTGCCCCTTCCCTTGGCAGTGAGTCCAACTGCTCTAGGAAGCGCTCCTCCCTGTCAGAAGAGAGGACCCTGCCTCCAGGACCCACACCCCTGGAGCCTAGGCGCGGCTGCCCTCCTGGGGGGTGTCATCAGAAAGTCCTGATGGGACCAAGCTGGCCACAACCAGCCCTCAGAGCGTGCAGGACAAGAGGGCAGGAGGGCAGACGCTGTCCTGCAGTTCAGGATGGTGCCTCCAGGTCAAGCCGAATCCTCCGAGCTGCCCGGTGGGCACCCACCGTAGTAGGTAGGGGGGCCGTCGCTGCCAGTGAGCGGAAAACAAAGGCGCCGCTCAAGAAGGGGGCACTGGCGGCCCCTCGGCAGGGAGCCCCTCTGCTAGTGTGGTGGGACGCCCCCAAAGGGCTGTGTCCACCGCGCCACATCCAGGTAGACTGCAGAGGCGCCGTGGTAGAGCCAGAGGCGGGGCAGGGCGCCGCGGCGCGTCCAGGCGTCGCGCGCGCCGTCGTAGGCCTCCATCTCCACGTGGTAGTCGCCGTCCATGCCCTGCCAGCGGCCCCCCGTCACGTACAGCGCATCCCCCAGCGGCACCAGGGCCCCGTTTTCATGCAGGCTGTGCAGGGGCTGGACCTGCGGTGGGCGGGGCCAGGAATGGAGGCATTAGGGCTGGAGGGCGGGGCCAGGACCCGAGGGTGGGGCTTAGACGGGCTGGGTCAGGACCGAGGGCAGGGCCAGAATAGATGGGCGGGGCTAGATAGAGAGCAGGATGGGGTCAGGGCCAAAGGACTGGGCCAGGGCGGGAGGTGTGGCTAAGATCGGGGCGGAGCTGGAGTCAGAGGGTTGGGGCCAGGTCTGGAGAGTGGGTGGGTCAAGACAGGGTAAGGGGGTGGGGGTGGCAGTAGGGTCAGGACCAGTAGGAAAGGGTGAGGGTCTGGCCAGGGGGTGAGGTGGGCGGTGTGGGTCAGTATGGGCCAGAGTCAGGGCCAGTAGGCAGCAGATAGTGGCCAGGGCCTACATGCAGCTGGTGCCCATGGGTGGACTCAGAAGCCATCTAGTTCATGCCTCCCGCTGGGAATGACTCCAGCCTCCCCAAGACCATGCACCCTGCCTCCCACCCCCACAGGGCCCCTCTGATTCTCCTAAGGTAAGACCACAGTTGGCCACAGGTGGCTCTGGGTCTCGCCTCCCAGGCCCACGTGGGCCCCCTTGGTGGGGACAGGCGTGGCTCTCCCCAGGACTCCTGCTTGGCCATGTCCTCAGGAGGGCCGGGACAGGGGCTGCCAGGGCAGCTGGAGGGAGGCTCTGGGTTTCTGGGAGAATCTGGGTGGGCTGAAGGGAAGGATCGGGGTGGACTTCCACAGGCCCGTGCCCACTGCTGCTATGACCCCGACCCAGGGCGTTGCAGCCCAGAGGAATGTGCTGCTGGTGGCGCTGATATGACCATGCTCCGGCTCCCTCTGCTCTCCAAACGAGAGTCCCTTCCCTTGGCCACCTGTGCATCCTCCGCTGTCCTGCCCAGACCCTCCCTCTGGTAGGTGGGGCCGCTAGTGTGGACCCTCCTTGGGGAAGGCGGGGTTCAGGGAGGACCCCACTCCTGGGCCTCACACCCACCCTTGTCTCCCTCCCCATCCTCCTGGAGGCCCTGACTGGGCACAGCTAGTCCCTCACCTTGCCCTTTACCGCCTCCCCCCCACCATGGGCAAGCCCCGAGACCACCACCCGGCCTGCACCCCAGTGGGTGAGGCCTCCACAGGAGGAGCAGAGAGCGTGGGGGTGCTACCTTCCGCCATAGGTTGGCCCCAGGGTCGTACACGTAGACCTTCTTGGTGTTGTCTCCGACAAGGTAGAGGGCCCCATGCAGGTCCGCACAGCGAGGCGAGGACAGGTACTTGGGGAGGAAGGGCGAGGCGATCACACTCCAAGTGTCTGGGGGGACATGGCGGCTCATGGGGGGCAGCCGGGGCAGCCCTCATCCCCTCCACTGTCCTGGGCTTTGGGGGGTTCCTGCAGGAAAGGCTGTGAGACCGAGGTAATGGGGAAACTGCTGTCTAAGTGACCTTGGGCAAGTGCCCTCTGACTCTCAGACTCCTTGTCTGTAACCCACGTGCCTATGTGGGCCCCCCTTTCTCATTCGCTTGCTTCTTCCCAGGGGCGGGGTGCTGCTCCCCAAAGACGCCGGCAGGTGAGGGACTGGTGGGTACAGGTGACACTCAGCTCATCTCGGGGGTGTGTGGGGGGTGGGAGGGTGGGGGGGGAGCTTTGAGGACTCGGAGGCTTGACCTAGCTCCCATTTACCTCCCCACCCACGCAACTGAATGTCCTCTTGGAGCCCAGAACTTCTGCCTCATCTGGCCCCCACCTCTGCCTCAGGTAACCAGGCGGGCCCCACTTGGATGATGGGAGTCCTGTGGACATTGGACACACATCAGCTCAAAGGTCCCTTGGCCCAAGTTTTAAGGTGAGTCCCTGGCTGCGAGGGCATCTCACTAGCAAGGGCAGGCTGGGCCTCAGCTCTCACCCCGGTCCAGAGCCTGGCCATATAGCGGTCACAGATGGGGAGCCGCCGGCCCTGCTTGGAACTCAGCTCCAGGCAGCTCCTTCTGGCCCTCCCTCCACCATGCACCTGGCACACCTGTGACCAAGTGGTACTCACAGCGCCCCCCTCCCACCTGGGACTGGACAGTAGCACTTTAGGGAGGGTCTGAGCCCCATGCTCCCCGTCCTGTCCACGCCCACCCTCACAGCTCCTGGCATGTGGGGTTGGGCTGTAGCACTGCAGGGACCACCCCACGGCCCTCGCCCCTCGCCAGGCTCTCACCTCTACCCCAGGCTCTCACTTCTACCCCACCCCTGGCACCTGGCATCAGGTTACAGTACTGCAGGAAGGTTCTCGTGCGCCCCCCTCCCCACTGTTTCCCCTTCCCTGCAGCCCCTGGCACCTGTGAGTGGGCTGTAGCGCCCCCGGCACCCCCATACCCCCACACCCCCACACCCCCAGCACCTGTGGTGGGGTTGTAGCACTGCAGGGCCAGCGCATTGTACTTGCAGGCGCTGGAGCCAACCAGGTAGAGGCGGCCCTGGCAGCCGGCGGCCGAGAAGTTGCTGACATACTTCAGGGCTGGGCTGACAGGTGTCCAGCTGTCGGTGAAGGGGTCATAGCGCTCCACCTCCACCACGTCCAGGGCGGTGCCTGTGGGGTGGGACAGGGTGCAGTGGACGAGGGAACGGGGGCAGAAAACCCCGAGCCCTGAGCCCCAAGTGGGGCCGGGAGATGGGACTCCAGCAGGCATGTCACCTCCTCCCTGAGTCCTTGTCCTGACCCTCTTGGGTCTCTGCTCATCCCCCGATGCTGCCTCCAGAGTTTAGAACTGAGGACAACAGAGACCTGTCTGCAGGGGACACCTTGGGGACCCAGGTGCTCCTAGCTTACAGCAGCCACTGAGAGCAGATCAGTGGTCACCCAGCCACATGCGTCTATTTCCCCCTAGACCCGCCCTCCCCCACCCCCGTTGGCCTAGCTGCTGGGCTGGCTTGTGTCATTAGTATGGGGCTGGGGTATAAGAGAGGGTCCCCATCCTCAGGGTTGGGGATTGAACGGAGAGTGACAGCGGAGGGCATGAAGTGGGCCCCCTTGCCTGCTGCCACACCCCTGGAGGTGACCCTGAGCTCAGCCTTTGCCTTCTGCTCCCCTCTTGCCCCAGCAGGACATGACCCCTGCGGGCAGAGTGGTGGCCGAGGGTCTGCAGGTGGAGGGGCTCAGACAAGGCGGGGTGCCCTGAGGCTCACCCCCAATGACGTAGATCTCGCCGTGGAGGGCGGCGCTGGCATGGTTGGTGCGGGCCTTCAGCATGGGCGCCACTGGCCTCCAGGCAGCCTCCTGCAGCGGGAAGCACCAGGTCTGCGTGGTGGACCAGGTGTCTGTCTGGGAGCCCCGGGAGCCACCTGTAGGAAAGGGTCTGTTCACACGGGCCCCCCCAGCCCATCCCGGCAGAGTGGGGTCTCTGCGGCCAGCTCCGACCCTGGGACACCATGTTTCCTATGACTGTCCATCGTCCAGCCCAAACCCACGCCGTCGAGTGAGTTCTGCTGCATAGGGACATAGGCGGGGTGCGGGGAGGTCCGGCCCACGGGCCTTGCAAACCAAAACCCAACCCAGAACTCACTGCCCTTGAGTCAGTGCTGACTCCAGTGACCCTTCCAGGACAGGGTAGACGTGTCCCTGTGAGTTTCCAAGACTGAAACTCTTTATGGGAGGGGAGAACCCTGGCTGGTTCTGAACTGCCAGTTTTGCGGTTAACCAGTGTGCCTCCAGGGCCCTTATGACGGGCAGTATACGGCCCACAAAGTTGTCAACACTGGGCACCAGCACAACTCACCAGAGCAGCAGGTCCAGCTGTCCGTGATTGAACAGATTGGCAGCGTGCCCCGAGAACGATCCTATAAGTATTCAGGAGCCCTCGGCAGAAAAAAAGGCTCCGCACCTGGGCCCTGGGGTTCTCAGGCTGTTTGTCTGAGGCAAGGAGACGGCTCCTCTTTCGCCCGTAGAACTGCCGAGTTTGCACAAGGGCACGTGCAGCCGGTGGGTGGGCTGTCAGCCCTGCATTGTCTTCACGGAGGAGAACTGGGCTCGGCTGGGCTCAGAGCCGTCGGTCCAGTTTCTTCTCTGTCTGCCTCTGCCGACCAGGGGACCAGGGTCGCACTGCCCTCGGGACCTCCTCTCACTGCGGCCCTTCGGCCTGACTCGCAGCGACCCCGTAGCGCAGAGTGGAACGGGCCCACGCTGTCCAAGGCTCCCATCTTGGCAGGAGCACCGGCCGTGGCTTCCCTGCTGAGCGGCTCGAACCATCGCCTTTCGGTTAGCAGAGACGTGCTTAACCACTGAGGCTCCAGGGCTCTTTTCCTGGACCTGCACAGCGAGCCTGGAGGACCGGGGAGCTGCCCTGAGAGCCTCCCCCTGCTGACCTTGTGGTTAGGAGCCCAGTGTGCACGCAGGCATTCGTTAAGTGGCCTTCAGGACGCCGACTTTGGTCTGCAGCGACCCTCACAGCTGGCGGTGGGAACGGCTGTGGCTCAGAGAAACTGGCCCAGGGCTCCCCCTTCCACCTGCCCTGGCAGCCCCTCTTCTGTGCAGGGCCATTGACAAGCCTGGGGTCTCCGGGGGGCCTTGGGGTTGGGTACCCCATACCTGACTGCGCTATTGTTGCTTTGTTTTTCGGTGGTGGTTTGTAACTTGGGAAGGCTCCCAGTGACGCGGTCTGGTAAGCGTGGGGCAGAGGTAGTGGGCTCAGAAGGCCCGGGCCTGGGCCAGGCTGAGACTGTGGGCAGCCAGAGACCTCCAGAACGGAACCCTGCTCTGAGTGACGGTTCCCCAGTCCCTCAAGCACAGGGGCAGGGGCAGCGGTTTCCAGTACCCCATCAGTGGGAAGCATCCTCCAGTCTGCTCTCATACAGAATTCCTGCAGGGAAGCCCTGGGGGCAGGAGCACAGGAGACCGGCCCACCCTGGGGTCCACGTTGGCAGAGCCCACGGGAGTGGGTCTGTGGTTTTCAACATCCCACTGTCACATGCACAGAATGCCCATCTTTGAATGAGTGGGAGCTCATGCTGAAGGCAGTGGCTGCCCACCTATGACCCTGCCCACCTGTGGACCTGCCCACCTGGGACCCTGCCCACCTGTGGCCCTACCCACCTGTGACCCTGCTCACTTACAGGGCTGCCCACCTGTGGCCCTGCCCACCTGTGACCCTGCCCACCTGTGACCCTACCCACCTGTGACATAGATGACATTGTTCAGAGCCGCCAGTGAGAAGCCCCACTTGTGGTAGTCGGGAAAATCAGGGAGCGCCATCCACCGCCCTGGTGGGGGAGGAGAGGGGAGGTGAGGGCTTGGGCTCCCACTGGGTGGGGGACACAGAGCCCAGAGTCCCTGAGAGAGGCTTGAGGCCAGCCTGCCTCTCCACACCTCCCAGAGCAGGGGGCCAGGGCCTCAGGCTGACCCTGTAGGTGACCCACTGACCCCACACAGCCCCACTCACCCAGAGGGAGAGCTGGACGTGGCCTTATCCATAGTCCCACTGCTGGGGGACCACACAACACATGCCCTCCTCCCTCCCTCGCTCCCTCTCGCACCCTGAGATCCTTATTTCCCTGGGCAGGGGCAAGGGGGATTGGACACAGCCTTCCAGCCGGCAAACCCAAACCCATTCTGACTCACCACAACCCCACAGGACAGAGCAGAACTGCCCCAGGGCTCCTGGGGCTGCCGGTCTTCATGGGGGCACACAGCCTCATCTTTCCCCCTCAGTTGGACTGGTGGGGGTGAACTGCTGACCTTGCAGTTAGTAGCCCAACTGGAAACCCACTGAACCACCATTGCTTCTTTGAGCAGACAGGAGGGTTTAAATCCCGTCCAGCAGTGTGGCCTTGGATAACCCCCAGCCTCAGTTTCCCTTCCTGTTTGCTGTGGCCGGGTCCCAGCTGGAATTATAACTGCTGTTGTTGTGAGGGGCCTGCCCTCATGGAGGGACTGAGGAGGCAGGGAGTCCTGAGGAATTGCCAGGAAGAGGCTGGAAATGTTCATGGAAGGTTCCAGAAGCTGGGAAGGCTGTGGGTAGGCTCCCGGGAGGACTTGGCTGCTTGCTGTTTACAACTGTGTTTGGGACACACTGGGAGCCTGCCCGCTGGGCCCCATGGGCAGGACAGAGTGTCCCCCTGACTCATGTCTGTGTCACCCTCTGGGGGGTGGTGCTGCTCAGAACCAGCCACCTCTGTCGGCCAGCCCCCCCTCCCCTGGCTCCGCAGGCAGCTGCTCTCAGGTGGAGCCAGGAGGCCTCCTCTCCTGACGTCAGCCCCAAATCCCCTCTCGTCAACCCCGAACCCAGGGCAGCTGCCAGCCAATGACGGCACAGGCGGTAGACAGGGTGGGGACTGGAGGCCAGCCCGGAGGCCCAGGACCCCTGCCAGCCTCATGGGGACCTTCCAGGAGCGTCCTCCGGCCAAGAAGGCCGGTCTCTGGTCTCTGTAGAGCTCACTGCCTTTCTGCCTGGGGCCCCTCTGTGGCCCCTCATGGCGAGGAGATGACCCACTTCACAGACGAGGCCGCTGAGCCCCAGAAAGGTGACATGACCTGCTGCAGGACCAGACTGGGAACCCCGTGTGGGGAGGCCCTACAGCTGAGCTCTCACCCCGTCAAAGAGCCTGCGCACTCCCAGGCCTCTGCCCTCGCTGGGGCTACATGACAGGAAGCTGCCAGCCTGCCCACCTCCTGTGGCCACCCCCCAGCCGTGCACTCAGTGGTCCTGGTGGGCTTGGCTGCAGGGCGGTGTGCCCTCTTTCAGCTCACACAGGCCATGGAGTAGCAGCTCCAGGACGGGGCTGGGGGGGCAGGGGCCTACTCACTGGCCTTGGTGTTATAGAAGGCGAAGTTCCCAGGGCGTGGCGGAAGGTCCTCTCCAGCCTCCTCATCCTCCTCCAGCGCCCGCCCGCCCACCACCACCAGAACCTCCTCCAGCCTCCGCGGCAGGGCCAGCAGCACCTGTGGGCAGGGCAAGGGTCAGAGGGGCTCTGGGCACTGCGACCAACCAGGGACATCATCCAGCCAAAGGCTGGATGTTTCTAAGCTGTGAGCCCTGGGTCCTGAGTATCTGCGTGAGTGTGGTGGGCCCACATATGTGCTCTTGTGTGTGGACACATGTGGGCGTGGGCATGTGTGCACGGGTGAGAGCATGTACACGTGTGCCGGCGTGGGTGCATCCATGTATATGTGTGTACACACAAGTGAAGGTGTGTATGTGTGTGTGGAGAGAATGTACACACTTGTGTGTCTGTGTGTACACCTGGGTGCTGTGTGGACACATGTGCATGACTACAGACATTTATGTTTCTGTGTATATGCATAGGTATGGGAGTATACACACATGTGTGTCTATGTGTGTACACATATGTGCAGCATGTACACAAGCGTGCCTGTCTGTGTGTTTACACACATGTGCCTATGTGAATGTGGACACACCTGTGTACTGTATGTACACACATGTGAGTGTGTACACATGTGAGGCTATACACACAAGTCTGTGTATAAACATGTGTGTGGGCGTGTACATATGTGCGTGTCAGTGTGTGTACACTGACAGTAAGTGTTCATGAGTTCCCGGGGGAGGCAGGGCCAGGGGTCCCAATGGACCCTATGCTGGGAGAGGCTGTCAGAGGCAGGGCCTCCCGCTGTGTGGACTGACCGCCGCTGGAACAACAGCCGTGACTGTGAGGAGGGGGCTGGACAGGCCAGGCTTCTGCGCAGGCTGCTCCCAACAGCAGCAGTGGGGCCGTGGTGGTGGTGAGGGTGCTGTATGAAAGCAGAGGGCAGCCGCAGGCAGAGGACAAGGCCGTCCTAGGC